AAAAAGATGCGAAAAGGCGAAATCATTCAAAGCAATTGTTGTCATTCTAAGACAAGTTTGGGGGACTTTTTTTAGCCAAATACACTAACCCGATAAAAGTCTCACCGATTAATTTTTGCACCTCAAAGATCAAAGAAGGGAAGTTGCACAACATTCAAGCCGACGAGACTTCAACGCCCATCCGTAAGTTATGATTTCTTGTCCTCTTTGTTCATATTCCGTTTATTTTGATTACTTGAGGACAAGTAATATCTTAAGTTTGAGGGTGTGATAACTCTTATTTTTAAGAGTTATTTTCTATTTATTTCCTCTCTTTTTGTTATTATTAAATACTCAATTTTCTTGTTTTTACTCTTTTATTCCAAAAAGTTTTAAAAAGATGATGAAACACAAAGGAAGAGGTATTATTCCAAAAATATGTATTTTTCTGACAGCACTGCCCACTGTGGTACCATTGTGGGATGTCTATCAGCCTTGTTACAGCTTCTTTGGAAACATGCAGCTTGAAGATTCAGCCAGATATTTTCCCCAGCTGTATATGAGCTCTCTTCCTTCTATTTTATTTTCTTTTGTATTTTTTTAAGCTTGTACTAATTACCCTTAAGGTAATGATTGGGTGTACCTTACTCCCTTCATCTCCCCTATATAAAGAGGCTTGAGAAGTCATTTTGAAGACACCAACATAGAACCACCAACACCATCTAAGACACAATACTCTCTAGTGTGTCTCTCTTCTCTCTTTCTTTTATTATGCTTTTAATTTATGTCTTTAATTTCTAGTCTAGTATTTTATTTCCTTGTACTTGTAATTTAGTTTTACATTAATGCAATTTATATTTCAGTATTATTTTATGTTTTTAATTATTATGTCTAGCTAAATTACTTGTATGGGTGTGGGTGTGAGTTTAACTTAGGATGTTTTATAATATTTGAGTGTTTTTATCTTTTATCACTTCGTAACTTGGTCACTTAAGACGGTGCTTAAAATGCGGATAAGCTGATCACTTTGAAGTGTTAATATTAGATCTTAGACCCAGAGATGGGCGGATCCGAAATACGGCTTAAGTGATGCACAATGAAATCGAGAGGGACTTTGAATATTTACGTGGAGACGCGAATTTTGTATGCATCTAGCTAGGGGTTAAGCAATAGGTATTTTTATCACAAAGAGATTTGGGTAAGAATTGCATTTCTTTTACTTTTTAGCTAGATCGGCAAGTCTCGAAGTGGTAAACGTAAAAATTTTATGGAATTTTATGAGGCCCGGTTATAAAAGTTCACTTTCGAGAGATTGAAACTTTTATAAACAACTTGTAAAAGTCTAACCATTTTATTGTTAATTTTATCTTAAGCAACACTTGCACACATGCCCATCATTTAATATTAGAAGTTTATTTCGTTATTTTGCTAGTCGGTCCTATTTCAGTCTTTTTTGTAAACAAAAATCCAACTTTATTTTACATCTCGAAACTCGTGCAAGAAGTTCATGAAAAATATATGAATCTGAGTAGTACCTTCTCTTCTCTGTGGGAACGATTTCGGTACTTTGTACCACTTTATTACTTGCAAGCGATCATAGTGTCGGCGTGCACTTGCACCGCCACTTTGGAGACATTCTGCCCACTAGGAGAACACGAACGATCCTAGCCTGTCAGTCGGGAATAAAGAGATGGACTCGGTGATTGATAACATTGTAAAGTTTAAGGTACAAATTCTTAATTCTTTTCGTTCAAAAGATTCGTTTACATATAGTTACGAACTCTTAAGCTTTCGTTGAACTTATGATTATTCTATTTGACCGCTATTGCGGCTTCTGTTCACTCATATTTGTTCCATATTGTATATATTGTCAAGGACGTCTAGTCCTAAACATGTTACTTAAATTGTACGATTTTGGTACAAATTATGTATTTTTTCCAGAATATTACGTTTATTTGTTCGGTAACATTTTGGTATGATATTTTCCTCTAAAAGTACACATGTTGGTACTTGTGATCGATTTATATATGTATCATTTTATTTGTGTCTCTTGATTGTTACGACCATTTGTTCATTCAACATATTTCCTTACTTGGCTTATGTTTGACTGTTCATTTGATCTCGACACGCGTTGACCATATGTGAGACGTATAACGTCACATTCATTGTGGCAGTTTAATTTCGGGTAAGTCGAGCTACTAACCACCTATGGGAGTACCATAGGCACGTCACTGTGGCACCAGTAGCGTGACACCAACCGTGGCGGTGTGATCAATTCACAGCGTCTCCTCTTTTATGCTCTTATGAGAGCAAGTTATGATGTGATGAATATTTGATTTAGGAGACGTATGGATCGGCCCTAGCACATGTGATTGTTTGTATGGTGGATGTCAGTGCAGTGCCCAATGCCGTATCTCACATTCAGTACGTGTAGATCTGCAGTTCAACGTACAGGCTTGTGTGGCCATATGTCTGACACTTGTCCCGTTGGTTGATATGCAAGTGTATGCATTTTTTGAGCTCGATTTGTCCCTTCATATGCTTCCATATGATTATGTTATTTGTTGATTTTACTAAGATTTTGATACTCGTTTTGTCCGATATCTTGAGATCAATTTTGGCGTGTTTGTATTACCAATTTTATTATAATTTTTTATATGTTCACTGGACATTTGGTTCACCTTTGTTTTCTTCTGTTCCTCACGGCTGATAATTAAGGGGGGTGCTAAGTCTTGTGATGGAGAGTAGACCAAGATCTCGATTCAAAGGTTTCGAGAGGTTTAATGTAATGTTATTCAATTATTGGATTTATTTTATTAGCTTTTAGACTAGCATTTTTTTAAGGTTGTATTTAGTAGGGGTGAGCATAGGCAGGTACCCGCCCTTTTTGACAGGAACCGGAACCGGCGGTTCTTGAGATATTGGAACCGGAACCGGTTAGAGCGGTTCTTGAATTTTTGGAACCGGAACCGCCGGGAACCGGTTCCGGGTACCCGCTTCCTAAAATATTAAAATTTTGTTATTTAGAAATAAAAAATAAAACATTGCCAAAACACTAAATTAAATAAACAAGAATACAAATTATACGGAATAATGGTTACAAATATTGTTTAACGATTATAAACCATAATAGACTAATAGAAAATGTTCAAAGTTTAACGATTACATACTATAATTGTAAATGTTCAAAACTTAACGATTACATACTATGAAATGTAGTTTAGTAGAACTAGAAAGTTGATGAAGAATGTAGATGACCACGTCATTTGAAGATGTAACCTAATATAAATTTGATATTAAAAAAAATTAATTATTTTTTATTGAAAAACACTGGCTCCCCGCCGGTTCCGTTTCAGGGTACCCGCCGGTCCCGGAACCGGTCCTGGCGGGTACCCGGTGGGTAACGGTTCCGAAAAATTGAGAACCGAAACCAGAACCGTTCTCAATCGATTCTGTATTTTAGGAACCGGAACCGGAACCACTTATATCGGTTCCGGTTCCGGCGGTTCCAGGGCGGTTCCGGTTCCGCAAACGGGTACCCGGTTCCGCTGCTCACCCCTAGTATTTAGATTTCCATGAGTTGTTGGAAGGTACTTGAAGAGGTTTGTTTGGAAATGTTTATGTCTTTATTTGGGAGATATTTAAATTCGTTATTGGAAGATTTTATTTTTGTATTGGAGACTATATTTTGGAAGTTTTATATATTGATTCCATTACGTTTTGAAGCGACCTCCCTTCTTATGGAATGGGGGTGTTACATAGAGGTGGCCAACGGTGGTAGTGTTGGTGGTAATGGACGGTGGTGGTCGGTGGCCGATGGTGGTTGTAGAGGTAGCAATTGACGGTGGTAGTCGATGGCCGACGGTGATTTTGGAGGTGGTGGAGAGGTTTTTGTAGTGGATGAGGAGTTGCACGTGGCCAAGGGCAGTAGTGTGGCGACAATGGACGGTGGTAGACGTTTGTTGTGGAGGCGGTGGAGAATGTTTGTTGTAGTGGAAGAGGAAGCGGAGGTGGTCGCCGATGACCGCCGGTGGTGGCAGCAGCCGAAACTAGCGGTGGTGACCATTAAAATAAATATCATATTAAGGTTATATATCAAACTGTGGTAAATTAATAATATTTTAGTTTTTGTCTCATTTTTGTCTCATCTTGTTCCACCTATCTTTGTGGAACAAGAAAAAACCTCTTTTGTTCCATGCTATTCCGCCTTATCTCAGTTTTTTTCCATGTCTAATTTCGCATCAAACACAGGACAGTAAGTTCTTGTTCCGTCTCATACTCCACCAAACGTGGAACAGTAGGTTTTGTCTCATGCTATCCCGTCTCGTATACCAAACACATTCTTAAGTCCAATCCATTAAGTTGAGAGACATTATGATCATTTCATGTTTTTTTTTTTTTGTTATTTTATATATTTTTATTATTAAAAGTTAATGTACAAGTATCTAAATTTGTAGACGAACATTTGAAGAAAATAAAATTCATCCCCTCCCTTTCTCCGAAATACAAAATTAGTTGAAGAATGGATGCCACCCTTCTAACACATAATCATTCTCTCAAGTACAAAATTAGTTGAAAAATGGGCCCCACCCTTCTAAGACAGAATCTACGGTGTTTGATATTGTAGTCCAAACGTACATGTAGCTCAGTTGGCAATAAGGCAAAAACATTTGACCCAAATTCACAGCAGTTTTTTAAGTTCAAATCTTGCAGAAAACATGCTTGAACCCTTCCGCTAGCCTTGGCTGCCGAGTCAGCTCTGAAATGTCCCCCTACATTTGGTTCCTACCGGGCGGGTTCCATGTGGGGCCGGTTGGGTTGTCGGGTTATCAACTTTTTGCTCAAATATTTAAAAGAAATTCAGAAAAAGTACAATCCGTACAAATTCGTTGAAGCAGTTCGTTATTTTATGAGGTAATCATTGCCAAAGTGGCTATTTTGTGAATAAATCTGCCAGTGATGGTAGTAAAAAACCACTAACAAACGAAACTATGAAGTGGAGAATAGGGAAGTTGAGTTGAGCATGAATAACTGATACCTGTTGCATAGAATAACTGTCTAACAGTAGCAGCTATGGCAGTAGTGTAGTATAAACTACAAACTGCTTGAACAACGAAACCACGCTGCCTTCTCCATGAAGCGAATACGTAACAATATTGCTTTCATTTGTTTACAAGCTAACAAAACTACTACTTCTACTTGTTTACATAAAACTTGTTACATACCTCCTTTTTCTCTATTTCCGCCGTGTCCCTTTCCCTACTTCACCACTTATGCCACAACCACCCACGATGTGCCTATTTTCTGAAGCCAATATCCGAGATGTATAGCACCCCAATTCCCCTTTTTCACTTCTTGGATCAAATGTCTTCAACAAACCAAATTCACTTCTTCACCACAAGAGTTGAAGAACAGATATCGTGCGGCAGATGGATGGTTTTATGCCACTGCACAACACCAACAAGAAACTTGATAAAAGTGTACAACAATCATCTGATATCATAATGCCTACTTCTATGACAACTTTGTTGCAGATAAAAATAATTCCCAAGTGGTCAATCAAAAAAGGGAAATGAATTTATTTCACAACAGATATTGGAATCGCAGAGCATTACATTCCACAGAGGCATAAAGAAGAACTTGGTGAGACATAATCATTAAGGCTATGTTTGGCAAACTAACTGATAATCTAGTTGTTGGTTTATAAGCTAGTTGTCCGCTAGGAGCATCTCCAATAGATTCTCCAAAACGGAGATCAAAAACCTAGCTTGTAAATTAGTTTATGGCTAACCAAATCGGACTTTTTCAATAAAATCAAAAAATAAGCTAGTTCATGGCTAAAGTAACAGATCCACCAACGCTCTTTATTCACAAGGGGTCAACATGGTTGGGACTTGGGACTAGATATATACACATGATATGAAAAATAAAGATAGGGAACTTACTATTATCCTTTAGACATGAAAACCATGTGAGATGAACTCAGGAGCTGCTGTTGTAAAATGGAATCAATTGAAATCGCCAGTATACATGCTAACTGGTGGATCTCCAAAACAACCTTGACCCATAAAAGAAGCGTCTTTTTCTTAGTATCTCGGCTTCTCTGGCTATCTGGATATCTGAAGGCCGAAATATTCTGTGCAGAGCTTTGATCGTAAACCGAGGAAGTAGTGCTATGACAATTATAAGCAAAATGGAGAACCAATAGGTAGGTTGCTTTGCCAATTCGTATATTGTCCTGACAAAATTGGAATAATGCCATTAGTTCCTTATTGTCAACTTCAAGATAACCCAATGTATCCTACATAGAGAGAATATCTACTGTCTAGGGGTAGGATATAGAGAGGCTGTTTCCATGAAGGGGTATTTAGCTAAACGACCTTCTAACAAGTTTATATGCATTCTTTGTGTATGAAAGTGGCATTTTCTAACCTGTCAGAAGGTCATGGACTTGAAAGAAAACTTGTCAGAGGGTCATTTAACCGAAAGACCTGAAGGTTATTGTGAACCTCAATAAGAAAATGTTGGCAAGTTAAGGAAACTAACCCATAATTAGGAAAAACCGGTATAGAGTCCAAGACCACGACACAAGCATAAGTCATTATGACAGAACCCCAAATTGAGATATGAGTATAAAGTACCCATCGTTGAATGTCCATGGCCAAATGTATATTGACTAGGATAACTACAGCAACGGTCCACAAACTGCCCATACTCCAAATGTCAATTGTGCTTTCTTTAAAGGCCAATCTGGGAACACAAAAAAGAACGAGACTTTGCCATATTGTGTCGGCCATCATGATCCAAAAAAGGTAACTGTTGTAACCCTCTTGCCTATGACCAGCTTCATATAGCTTTGGATACTGGAGCAGCGTCTTATGACTTAGGTCCTTGTCCATAATACCAACAACAATAGTAGGAATAGAAGTGTAAATTACTGAGTAAAATACACTACTCCAATCTGTAAGTGCAGATGTCGTTGAGAAAGCCGCACATAAAATATACCTGAAGCCAACAAAGAGTACTACCACATTATATATGTATGTATATATGTGCATGCATACGTGTATATATGTTTGTGTTTGTGCATTAGCGAGGGGTGATCAACTATATAACTATCAATAAGGTCTAATTTACATCCCACAAAAGAGAAAACAAAATAGAGGATCAGTGCTGTCCCAAAAAATAAGTTCCAAGTGGGATATACACCAAAAACTGATATGTATGGAATGAAGCTAATGGATGGACATTCATAAAAGAGTACAAGGTATACACTTGATGAATTCTTGAAGCATCCTAAGTTGTTTTTCGTGTCGGCTACATGAAACCAGTTGATTACCAGACAAGTGCCGCAAATATCTTTGATCATGACGTCTATCCATAATATTTAATTTTTCCCCTACTCTGCCTGCCGTAAATCTTGTTAATTGATATTATCTTTTAAAGTTTGTTTAGGGTTTTCTGTTTTCTGAACTCTATTTCTGATATGATTAATGATATTCTCATGCTTTCCCATTCCGTCATATCAGTACCCTATCCCCATCAGACAGTTGCTGAGACCCTTCACAAGCATCATGAGAATTTCTCAGTGGGAGATAGGGCTACAACAAGCCGTGTGATTTTGGATGAGATCTCCCGAGGGATCCAGGCGAAGATCGTGGCAAATGTAGGATGAGCAACTAAGAATGGACAAGGTGGCCTTAGACATGACCTCTGATAGGAGTTCTTGGAGACGCCACGACTAGGGTAGTAGCATATAGGTTAGATAGGTTACAAGAATCCAACTTTAGATAAAGGGATGACAGTTTTTCCTTGCCTTTTCTTTGTTTCACTAGACCTACTTTCTTTTTCTTTTTGTCTAGTTGCTTCTAATACTAGTCTTAGTCATTGTTTGCTGCTTACTATTATAGTCTCAGTTCTTCTTACCTTTCCTCTCACATTTTTTTCACGAGTTGGGGGTCTTCATGGAAACAAACACCCTACCCTTTGGGGTAAATGATAGGTTCCACCCCTCCCAAACCTACTTTCAAATGGGATATATTAGGTTTATTTCGGTTTTAGTTGACATCACTTCATAGATTGGAGTTCTGATAGAAACCGGAGAAATATCTATGGAAAATGAATAATGAAATGAACAGAAGTAGGATTTACACTATGTTGTAGAATATAGAGGAATAATTAGGATTGTTGATACCACAAGTAATACAGAGGTATTGACATCCTTGATAGGTATGTGAATATGTATTCATGATGACTAAGATAGTGATATGTCACATAAGACAAAACCCGAGTCATTGAAAGGCTTGTATATGATGGAAGTAGATAAATCACATATATGCACAAATATATGTTTATTAAAGATCTAGCATATCCAAAAAAAGATATACCATATATGCACGACATCATTTAGATCACGGTATCATAAGTCTCTCTAAGATTACTTCTAAGGTAGATGAAAGTGGGAAATGGAAGTAAGACCATTCCATGTCGAAATAAGTAACAAAGGGCCTAAAAGTGTTGGTTTGAGAAGATAGGCTAGTAATAGCCAAGCCATAAATAATTGTAGTATGTAGGTTTATGAAGGTATCTAGGGACGACAATGATGATGATGATGATAGTGGTGGAAATGTGCATACAGATGTTGATGGCCCAAAAACCTTAAAATTACCATCATGGTATCATACATCTCTCATTAATACATCTATTACGAATCTTATAGGATTAAGACATATCTTTATGTGATCATACAGCAAACTTCGTCTATCACCATAGCTAATAGCCAAATTTAGCTCATTTATTCCATCTTATACAACAAATTGTATTTTCTTAGAAATCAATAATTTGCTTCTGCCACACAAGAGATCAACATGTTTTCTCGAACGAACAGATTTACACCATCAATTACAGGGCAACTAGCTAGCCTTAGTAGTAAGGACGAAAGTCAGAAAGATGTGTTTTCCATTTTTAATTAAAAGAAAAAAGGAAAGCATGGACCTTTTGAGTTGATACATTGTAGACAACAAAGCATAACATATAGCACATGTAAAGAGAAATTAAATCTACCAATTGAAGATTGATCACATAATAGAAAGATAAACAAGATTCAAGTGGGAGGGGGACCATAAAAGGCTCTAAATACACAACTTACATCTTACAAAAGGATGTATAATCCTTCATTAGTATTTACCAAAAGGAAATCATGCTTACCAAAAAAGCATAAAGACAAAGACAGCATTCCTGTAGAAGTTGTAGAGAACCAAATAACCCATGCGTTGATAATTCCAATGCCCATGGACCAAGAGTAACCTTTTTAAAAATCTGAACTGTCCCATAGCAAAATCTGAAGCCATGACAGCTTGACGCCCTTCCTGGCCACATATGCCAACACCAACATCCGCCATTTGGATCATTGAAACATCATTAGCACCTAAAAAGTGTTCTCATTAAGTAAAGATAGACGACTAAATCTTCAAACAATCAAGGCTACTGCCAACACTTGTGAATCCATAACTACTTTCTCGTAAGCAGCTATCTCAAAAATCATGCAAACATTGACTGCATCACCAACCCGGGGAAAAGGAGAGATTTTACCAAACTCACCATCGCCTATTGCTAGTGTCATATCATCAGTGCGACTCTTTATCAAATCAACAATTCCCGCCTTTTGTAAGGGTGCAACACGACAGCACAACACAACCCTACATGAAGTTGCAAGATCGAACAGCTGTCCAAGGAAAGACAAATGTCATAATCAGACCAATAACTAGAGAATGAAACTCAATCTATCTTCTAAACAGACAAATGTAGCAGAAATACCACAAATTGATCAAGTATGAAGCTAAAATTCAAAATTTAGACAAGAAAATGCTTCATGCCTCTGATTCCAGATCTCTTTCCAAGATGTAAACTAGACTATTCCCATCAATTATCAGTGCTAATGGCCCACCCATGGTTAGTTCTGGGTTTCCATCATCCTCAGTAGGCAAATTGGACAATTTTGATTCAGCAAGAACGTCCACAAAATCACTTTCAGCACCCTTCTTCAACTTAAAACTCTGGGTCCTGAAACCTCCACATTTCACACCATATTTGGCCTTCGCCTCAGATAGAAGCATTTTGCATTCACTCTCTGAAGTTCCATTTATGATAATTTGATGCATATCCCCTGTCAGTAGCTTGCAGGACAGAGCAATTGAAATTGCGGTCTCCTGCTTATCTCCAGTCAGAACCCAGACCTTAATTCCTGCCTGCCGAAGAGACTCGATAGTTTCTGGTACACCCTCTTGAAGCTTGTCCTCAATTCCAGTTGCCCCAAGCAAACACAAGTTAGATTCGACAAGAGATGCAGTTTGACGTAATTTCAAAGAACGGTCGGCCAATGAAGTACTTGCATCTTCATACATAGACTGCCACTCCTCAAGTTCTTCACCTTCAAGATCCCTAGCAGCAAGTACAAGCGTGCGTAGACCTTCTGATGAATACTCGTTCAAATGGCGCTGCGTTATGAGGCTTAAATCATCATTTTCACGGTCTTCCCTCAAAATACTGAGCATTGATGTATCCGCTCCTTTTACTAACACCTTCACATCATTGTTGGGGAATCTGATTACAACAGACATCCTCTTTCGAACACTATCAAACTCATGCAGCCCTAAAACATCCAATCTGCATTCACAAAATATGTTGTTTAATTTTCATCTGTCTTTTTTTTAAAACTTTTGGGAAGAGATCTCTTAATGAATCCATAGAAATGGCATGCATTCATCTCCACCGAAGGTATCAAACATGTATAACCAAAAAGTAATCAAGATTTCTACCTTAGTTTCTCACCATTGACATCAACTGCAATATGACCAGATGTCCTCTCAAAAAGAATATACCCATAAGCACAGGCAGCAGCTACCAGAGCTTCTTCATCAGGGGATTCTCCCTGATAGTCAATAGCTTCAAGATCTTCATGAATTTCAGTCCCCATTGAACCTTCGGAAGTTGTTTGACTAGGAATGGGAATAACAGTGTTACATGCTGCCAATGTAAGGAAGAATTCATGAGCAGAAATCTTTTCACTTCCATCCAAGCCTTTATGAAGCAATCCCATGAGCTGTGCATCCACAGCAATATCAGATTTTAGCTTCCTTCCTTTTGAGGACAATGGAGTGGGTTTTGTTAGTTCTGCAAAAAATAATAATGTAATAAATTGTAATGTGCCTATTAAATTAAGGATCTGCATCTAACGAAGAGCAAAACTGGTAACATTATGCAGAGAAATTCCGAAATTTTGAGTTGTGGGATTATTGTGAATGAACAAGATGCAAGGGAGTACAACCAATGGGAGAATTTTTTAAATCGTCATCCCTGTTGAGCTCTATATGGGCATCTATGCACCTATGTATGTAAGTATGTATGTAATATGTACACATATAGGTCTGTGCATACATATGTATGTTTTTATACATACATATGCATGCCCATAGATGGTAAAGTATAGATTATCACAATTAAATGAACCCCAATATAGAAACTTAATCCTCTTTCAAGTCTAGAATCGTCATTATGATCCTCCTAAATCGTGGGAGCCAAGAATATATCCGTCATATAACTTCAAAATCCTTACGACAGTTTGCTAAAACGATGGATCCAATATCGAATTTGTCTAATAATAAAAACTTCTCTACCTGAATGTATCATGATTATCATAGAGCTAACGTTGAAAATATATTAATCATACTACTCAAAATTTCCATAAGACTAGCTAATTATTGTAAAAAGAAAAACCTATTAAATGATAATAATAAAATATATAATTCAATATTTTGGTGGAACGGGTCCACAAAGTCATTAAATGGACATTGTGCCCCCTAAACATTCAAGTTTTGCTTATTCATACTTGTAATCCTTGTTTTTCACTTTTTTTTCATTTTAGTTCAAAACCACAAGCCCAAACATACTAATCATTAATAAACATGCTTACGTTACATATTTGTTGTTTTAGATGTATGTGTATATATGTATATTTCCAAGTGTATACGCATAGGTATGCCTATGTCAATGCCGATGTGTATGCATGTAGATAAGTACATATATTTTTTGGTGTGTGTGTGTGTGCAACAAACATACATATAAATATATATAACCCCATGGCCATAGACATATATATATATATATATATATATATGTGCATGTATATATATGTACATATCCACCCATAGACAAACGTATATATATAAACCGACAGACACGTATAGATGGAGATATATATCTGTACGCATATTCATAGAGATAGATATGCATAGATATACATATGTACGCACAAATATATGTATATATAGAGGAGGTTTAAATTACAAACCATGTAACTTTTACAAAGCATACAAACCAAAGCTTAATCGTCCATCTAGTCTAATAAATATTTCAATTGTTTCCTAAACTCCACGATCCTAATGAATGAACATTATCATCTTCCATAAATATCTCGATCATGTAGAGATACAAATACATATAGAGATACAAATATAAATATGTTCATATCTACATGTAGAGATACAAATACATATAGATGCACTATAGATAGATATAAACACCTAGATATAGACATATATATACACACCTATAGCATAAGCATATGTCTTCATATATGTGAAAAATATGCATGGGTGTATGTGTATATATATATATGTGTGTGTGTGTGTGTGTGGATGTGTGTATATATATATATATATGTGTGTAAGCAACTATGCATACACATATGTGCATATAGCTTTTGTGCAAGTTCAGCTAGGAGAGGGTCTTTTGACTCGATTACTTGTTCAGTTGTTCTAATGTTTTACCACATTTCGTCTTCAGGTCACTTAGTTGTATCGTTCTTCCGCTTAAAATTTTAATGTCATTAACTGTTTTAGTCCTTTCTCTCGTTGTTTTATTGTACTTGATTGCTCTATTTTTCCAAGCCCTTCTTCCTTTCCCTTTTTTCTCTCCAGCTTTTCATTTACTCTTCAAAACTTATTTTCATCCAAATGTGAGACTAACTTCCGGAGTCAGTAAAGACTCCCTCAAAATTTTGCAAGCAGGAGTTCTTCATGAAAACAACCTCACCACACCTTGGGGTAGAGGAAAGGTCTGGCTACATCTTACCCTCCCCAATCAATACTCATGTGGGATTTACTAGCTTCATTTGGTCTGGTTTGGTCTGATCTGTATGAGTGTATATATATATATACATATACATATACATATACACATACATAATAAGAACACACACATTGTACCCTGACTTATCCTCAAATTCTAGCATACTGAAGATCCATCTTCCATTTCTGACCCATCTTCAACACGCTAATGTTGTATTCTTATCACCAAGCATTTAGTAAAGCAGAATATAGCTGATATAATTGCTACCATAGAGCTCTCACTTTCAACTCATAAAGGTATCCTCTAATTATACAAAACAGAGATAGCTCTAAGGAGTAGCCTGGCAACGAATCCTGCATGTCATCATGTGCTCTTAAGTCCTGAAATATGCAACCCCCTGCCGCATACAAGGGATCGACTTTGACTTGAAAAGATAACTAACCATATAAAAACAATTGGTTGCGCCTGTCTAGTTGGAGGCATAATAAGTAAAAAACAATGGTCCTTTTCTCATTAACGTGAACATAAACATGTATTGCTGCCAAATACTCAAACATGCTGAGCTCAAACACGTTATACATTGAAATGGAAGTCCTCAAGAAAAATGACAAGATATTTAGCTTCAATTGTAAACCTGCTTTCAGTAGCAGCCGCCCCAAAAAAGGTAGAATGTGACAGGTGGCTTTCTTTATATTGTTTCCTTTCATATCTTTTTCATGGGGAAGCATTAAACAATTGCATCCTTGTTAGTTAGGCCATTTGTGATATTCTTTTTTACTGCTGAACATGTTATCTCAAAACCTCTAACGAGCAAAGCAAGTAGAAAAGCCAAACCTGCAGTCTCTGTATCCTTTGTGGTGCCATCCACCACTGAGGAATTACGATAATGCTTCCCAAACACAGTAGCTCTTCGGAACTCCATTTTATTCTCAGTAAGCGTACCAGTCTTATCAGAGAATACATAACGTATTTGACCCAGATCTTCATTTATATTTAAGGATCTGCATTGAAACCTTGAGTTGGTGCTGCTGTCATACATATGTTTGTCTTCTATCATGAAATAAGATTGTCCTAACCGAACCAACTCCATGGTAATGTAGAGAGATATCGGTATCATTATCTGAAACACTATAATAGAACTCAAAAAGGCAAAAAAGGTTTCCATAGGAATCCCATAATATTTATACGGTTTGCCTGGAAATTTTCCTTTTATTAAATAACTCTTTCTGTAATAAGGCAACGTATCAATTTGCATCTGGTGTCGCATCAGCCACAAACACATCCCAATAGCCACAACCAGACACAGGATGAAAAGAAAAACCGACAACCAAATAGTTTCTTTGTTCATTGCCTGTTCCAGCCTGCTTCTCTTGGATGGCGACACCGCACTATTCAGCATCGCTTTTGTCTCTTGACCAGCATAAACCACCACACCCACCACCCATTCTGTGTTTTTCACCTGACACCCACGCAAGATAATGTTTGACTGACTAAGAGAAACTTTATGTACATTCAACTCCATATTGGCTGTGAACTCATATATGTTTCTGTTAGGCTGTTCGCATCTGATCACCCCTGATGTCAACCCTCCTTCAAATGACATCAAGGATGTTTCCTGCCTAGCATATCTTGTCTTTAGATTTGACTCGCCATCCAAATTCATGGTTTGTATATAAGCAACACCACTAGGATCACTTGTCCGTAGCAGTACCATATCACAAGGAATCGTCTCATCAACACAAATTTTCACCACCTCGCCTACCCTGATATCCTTCCATCGTTTTAATTGGAACTTACCAGATTGAAGCACTAAAGATTCCTTGTTATTCTCATTTCGGTCAGATCTGTGCCTTCGCCAATCCTCATAACCATCTTTTATAGCAGTCACAGTGAGAACAAAAAGTAGTGGGAAGAGAGAAACAGTTCTCCCAAAAACTGCAAGAGGAGGTAGCTGATTGAGAGCGGCAATAACTAGAAAATATATGTATGCCACCCTATGAAACTGAATAAAGAGATTCTTGGGCAAGAAATTAATAACTGTATACTTGCTTGTGGTGATCTCGTTTCCAGTGAATTCATACTCTTCATTGGTCCTTTGAGAATCATCAATATATATCAGCCTAACATTGTCACGAACTAGATTATTATCCAACTGCATGCTTCTATAACGACAAAACTGATCTGGGACTCAGGAAAAGCTGCACGATATGACACCACACATGCGTAACGAAGAGATAACCCAAGAAGAGGGCTCCCCAGATGCAGCCGTAGGATTTTCAAGAGTCTTAAAGCCGTGATGGTGGTCCAAGGCACCACCCCATGAAACCTGAATTCTTCTTTCCCATAAGGAGCATTACGGACAGAATTTAGTTTTAGCAGAAGTCAACTCAATGACCTGCAAAGTAGTTGTTCTTTTCCTTTGCCTCAAACAATTTGTATTCTGTGTCATCAATACACAGAAGAGATCTCCACTGAGAATGTTGGTGAAAATTGGTTGCCAGAAGTCATAAACATGAAAGGACACTGAGAACCACTTCACAGAAACCCACAAAATGTGAAACTTTGAGATGCAAATGAACACTACCTTACCAAGAACTCAGAGTCCTCCTTCCCAACAATTTATAAAAGCAGAGATTAAAGCAACACAACCGCCCAAAGCATATTTCTTCCCACTTCATTCAGAAAGTGAAAACTAGAACTTCAATCTATCCAGAAATCCGTTCTACTTCCCCCAATAAGAAATACTCAATGGGCAGCCAGCATAGTGATGATCAATGCATAGAGAATCGGCGCAAGAACTTCTTAACCAAAATAAATAGAGGCTCAAAAGTCATTTGCTAATTTAGGGTTCTTTTCTTGTAGGTGCTCAGATATGTGCAGTGTCTCAAATCCAAAAACTCACCTCACTTTTCCAACAGTTGAACGCAAATACAATCCACTAATAAATCTCAGATATGAAATCCCGATGCCACAATTGCGAAATCTTTTTCACCTGTCACACAAGACCAAAATCTCATATCGTTCATTCATGCAAACACATTGCGTTCGAAATGCTGATCCCACAGCAGAAACAGGAAAACAAAGAAAACCCAACAATTTGCCATAGATAAATACACATAATTACATTCGTGTAGACAAAAAAGAAAAAAGCTGATGAATGATGAAACTGACCCAGATCAGAACAATCCTTCAACGCAGTGACGAACACCAAGAAACACAAAAATTGCAGCTTTTCCTACAATTTATTTGGGGAGACAAGACAAGATGTGAAATGAAAATTAGATTGAAATTGCAGGGAAACACAAGGTAAAAGCGATGAAAGAAGGCGGTGCACGGAGATCGAGGAGAAAGAGAAACTGATGCGTGAGTTAAGAGAGAGAGAGGGGGTGGGAGAGAGAGACGAGTGGATGAGCATAAATGTTGGTTCTTTACTTCTCTCTGCTTTAAAGTGATGACTCGTCTAGTCCCATCTCTCTGCCTGCAAATTGCAATTTTATTGCCTTCGACTCAAAATACAGTTACCCGTATTTCTCATCTTGACACTTCGATAAATATTTCTCATTCTCTAATTTAAAGTGTCAATTCTATTTTCCGCTAATAAATCTTTCAGTTCGGTTCGAGCGGAAAAAAACATATTATAAATGTGGCTTTTTCATCGTAATTTGATTAAAATACTTTGTTAGACGCAAACCCACTTAGGATTGTAATCTTGGACAAGATCCGACCGGGCCAATTTTCAAACATTAAGGTCCAATTACGATGCACATGGATGGATTAGATGGGACCCACATTTGCCCCCATCCGTAACTGAATAGAAGTTTGGATTGTCTTGTTAAACCCTAAATTTCATGATTAGTAATATGTTGCGTTGTTGCTCCCAACCTTTTTCTAGTTAATGTCTTCTAGCCTTTTCCAGTGACTCACTCATTACACTCAGTGACCTGTTCACTACTTTTTATGTCATAATTCTCTGCAATTTTAGTTTTTTGAATGATTTCGATGTTTATACCTGATGTTTCTTTTTGGAATGTTTGTTAATTTTATTAGATTATGTGTTATTCGTTGTCATCAAGGGTGTTTTACTAAGAATTTCGAAATAACCTAAAATTGTTTAACACGAACCTCATTTGGTTTGGATTGGTTATTTGACTTTGATTTTTTATACCCCTAGGTGTGTCCCGTATCACCCGACTTATTGGATCCACCGGTGGGTGTACAGAAACCCGACCAATCTCAAAAACCCTGCAAACCCAACCCGAATCCATTTCATATTTAAGCGAGTTGTAAAATTTTCATATCGTAGACAGTGAGTCAGAATCGGGTCACGACCATTTGAATTCAACCCAACTCGATAAACTTATGGAAACCTTTTTTGCCTTTTTAAGTTCTATTATAGTGTTTCAGATAATGATACCGAAAAGTTATGTTTTGGTGTTGGCCTAACTTTTTATTTGTTTCCCATGTAGCATTAAATGTCAATTAATTGCTAGTAATAACCAATGATTGTTTAAATATTCTTTTGCAATGTAGTTATTATGCCATGACCCTCACCAACCCAACCCAACCCGTACATGTTTGGATTGGATTGGGCTTATACCTTAAATTTTTAATGGGTTGTGATTTTTTATAACCACACTAATTAGGTTGAGTTGTTTAAATTTCTTTAAGCCAACCCGTACAATCTATGTACAACCCTATTTCTAGTAATCTAATTTTAGATATTTTCATCCCGTAAAATTAAAAATATATATTATAATTTGATGTGTCATAAATTTTGATTTGAGGGATTTAAAAAAATGTTAATAGTTAAATCAATTTTTAATATTTTTCTATTTTCAGTAGTTAAAACAACCTTTAAATTATATATATAGAGAGAGAGGGAAAATTCCATTAAAAACCGACTTTACATTGTGAACCAATGGATAAATCTTGACAAAAACTGTAATAATCCTCACATAACTCTTGATTTTGAGGGATCTGTGTGCATGCTATCAAAAATGAATGAGGGGTCGATCGATCATTCGTTCATGGCATTAGTGTTGCTCGTTAATATATATTAACATTTTTATGAATAAATGCATGTTAACGAAAGTTAAGATACATTAATATGCATGGGTATTGTGTGTTAATATATGTTAAGGTTTGTTAATATTCAATCTTAATATATGTTAACTTATGTTGAGATTGCGGTTAAGATGTATTAAGGTATGTTAAGGTTTTCATGTTAATATTTGTGAAGGTTATGGGGCATGTTAACTAACATCCATGTATGTTCAAAGTTGTCATTGTTTGTTAATGTATATTCAGATTGGATATTTGCATGATGACTTGGTCATTTAAGGTATGTTAACATATTTCGTGGGTGCCAACTTATGTTAAGCTTTGTGTTCGTCCAAACAATTGTCATCGAATGTTCCATTTTATTACCAAAATGCCACCTGTCCATCAGCATCGTTTATCAAGAGGTAGGTTCATCTAACGATTTTGAGTAGGTTACTAGGTTCTTAACAAAAGATTCCTACACGATCCTAATTCCACACACACACACACACACACATATATATATATATATAAGGAGAGAGAGAGAGAGAGAGAGAGGATTATGCGAGAAGTTAAACATTTTACGAGAATGCGAGAAGTTTCAATATCATATATGATTACACTCTTTTGAGAGTGTTTAATCATATAAAATTAAGCATCTATGTGTTCTCAACGCAACATGTGTTTAATCATAAAAGCGTTTATGTGTTTGTCAATACAACATGTGTTTAATCGTATACGATTAAGCTTGTGGATCATGGAGGCAATTATATATGATATTAAAACTTCTCGTCTCGCGAAATGTTTATGTTCTCGTTTGAACATGCCCATATATATTTAGGGGCCTAATAAAAAAGAGAACTATGTAGTTTGTGATAACCATGAGATCTAATGTGAACTACTCATTTGAGATATTTAAGTATATTTCTTAAATAAGTTAAAAAGGTCATTCGATAATTTATTTTATAACAACTCATCAAAAGATTTATTTAATCTTTTTAAGAAAATATATGATTGATTTTAATTATCTAATATATATTGGTTTTTAAAGATGTTTTTGAATCGAAGTGTATCATAATGATAATGTTCATAATGTATTTTCGTTGTTTTATAAAGTTTCTCACAATATGCATTTTCGTTACTTTCGTTGCTTTAGAAAGAGTATCACAATGTGTATTTTTGTTATCTTAGTTGTTTTACAAAGGTATCACAGTGTGCATCTTGTATATATATGGGGGTATCACAGTGAATATCATTTATATATATACTTCTAGGTATCACAATGTGTATATTCTGTTCACATAAGATTCATCGGAATAAGATTTGTCAGAATAAAGTTCGCCGAAGAGAGGATAGATGAGATTTTTAAAATCTCAAAAATGCCTTTAATTAATATTTTTTTTAAGTTAAAATTACCATAATTATTAATTTTCTTAGTTTAACTTTTGATTTGTGGTTGAGATTCCTGCTCACAGTTATTACAAATTACTGTGTCGCCCCTTAATAGCCCCATGTGTGTGTGTGTATATATATATATATATATAATTAATATTTTTTTTAAGTTAAAATTACCATAATTATTAATTTTCTTAATTTAACTTTTGATTTGTGGTTGAGATTCCTCCTCACAGTTATTACAAATTACTGTGTCCCCCCTTGAATAGCCCCATGTGTGTGTGTGTGTGTGTATATATATATATATATTAGAAGGATACTTGCACAATGCAGCGAGATATATATCGATTTTAGTGTTTCGTTTTATTCTATCTCTGTAGATGTTTTAATACGGTTTTTATGTAGTTTTGAGAAAGAGATAATGTTTTTGTTTTTGAATAAAATATAAATTTCAAGATATCATAAAATTTTGAAAATCAAATTAACCATTTAAAAGTTTTTTTTGTGTAATTTCTTTAATTCAATTTTTTTTATAATTTAATTTAGATTTAATAACGAAGTAATTTATTTTAGATTTAATAATATAATTTTTAATAAGGATAATAATCAAGTATTCTGATAGAACTTAATGATTATCTTAAAGAAAATTCACCAAAATAACCGATTTATATCATACATATTAAGAAAATAACCAAATTGAAACTAGGTTGCAGAAATGGCCACCCAAATCGCCCCTGGGGGGCGATCCAGGCTGGATGGGGGCGATCCACGTCAGCCCATCGCCCGCCGGGGACGATCCAGCTATTATGTATTTTTTTTGTAATATCTATTAAGGGGTGTTTTTAATTAAGAGGTGTTTTTAATAAAAATGAGACGATATTTGAACTGTTTTTTTTAACCTATTTTTCATGTTTTTATTTAAATAAAATAAAACAACGTGTACTCTCACAACCCGTAAACCTTATAAAAATACGATTTTATGTGAAGATTTTTTTAAACGCATAAATCAGATATATTTTTCTTATCTTATAAGAAATCTTATTTTGTCTTTTACTGCAACCAATTTCACTATAAATACCAACCTTCTACTTCATTATTTTTCACACCTCCTCTTTCATTTCTGTTCTCATATATTCTACTCTCACAACCCTTAACCATTCAACACAATAAACCATCACAATCCTTAATCCATTAAACACAATCAACCATCACAAAACATAAAATCACATCAAAGTGATGATGTTTTTGTGTATATTCGAAGTGGCGGTTTATTCCAAGATATAAATGGTGTGTTAGAGTACCTTCCGATAAGCTCCCCCACATGTGTAATACATTTGTCTTCACCAATAACATATTCTGGGGTCGTCAAACGTGTGATGGAAAAGTTAAGTTACATGGTTCTTTCAATTTATTTTATAAAACGAATACGTTATATCAGTTAATGGACGACAATGATGTGGTAATCTTCCACAACGCCATTCGTCAAAGTTTACCAGAAATGTTGACACTATTTATGGTCGACGATGGAGGTTATGGAGGAAATCCATCAAGTGCAAACCCGGGCAGTCCAAACACTTTTTACCCCAGTGCTGTAAGCTGTGGAAATCCAAGCACACTCTTACCCGACGTTAGTGGTGCAAACCCATATGGTCCAAGCACACTCTTCCCTACCGGTTGTGCTCCTGGTGTAAATCAAAGCACTTTCTTCCCTAGTGGTGGCAGTGGTGAAAATCCAAGCACCTTCTTCCCTTATGATGCCGCTGGAAATTCATATTTTGAACAAAAAGTTACCGTTCAACCTGACAGTTATTTTGTTCAAGATTTGAACATGCCTCCGACGCAGTTTCCCAACCCGTACCCGATCCGGTCTCCTGAACAGTCAAAACCTTTGTGGGAGGTAGATATGGTTGAAGA